TACCGCAAGGCAAACAAGGCGTTTGCTTAGGGCGACAATTTTTAGGGGGGTGGCAGTGCCCCCCCGGAAGAAGGGACCTCGAGAGCAGCGGCGGACCGAGCCATGCAAGGCCACCAACAGAGGGGTCGCACACGGTACTCTTGCAGTGGCCCGGAGGACAGCAGGAGGATCGATGTGGAGGAGGGCAGTTACAGAGCAATGCTCCTGTAGCTCTCCCTCCAGCAGCTGACGAGCCAGGACCAGGGGACAGCCTGGAGCAGGGAGAGGAGAGGATCCAAAGAAGGTGAGCTGTGCTGTGGTCTGTGGAATCTCCCTGTCTCCCTCCCTGCACTGACAGATTGTATTGGACTGCACACACCTCCCCCCCCTCCTCCTTCCTGCTGCACGGAGATCAGCAACACTTGGAGGAGGTGTGTGTGTGTGCAGTCCAATACGATGTGAGAAACGGAGAGGGAAGAGGGGGGGAGAGGGGAGAAAGAGAGAATAAAGAGAAAGAGGAGGGGGAGAGAGAAAGGGGGAGAAGAGAGAGGGAAGAGAGAGTGAGGGAGAGAGAAGAGAGAGAGGAGAGAAAGAGGAGAGAGTGAAGAGAGAGAGTGAAGAGAGAGGAGAGAGAGGGGGAAGAGAGAGTGAAGATAGAGAGAGGGGGGGGGAAGAGAGAGAGAGAGAAGGGGGAAGAGAGAAGAGAGAGAGAGAGAGTAGATAGAGAGAGGGAGAGGGGACGAGAGCAATGGTGAAGAGAGAGGGAATGAAGAGAGAGGGGAAATGAAGAGAGAGAGGGAATGAAGAGAGAGATAAAGAGGGGGAAGAGAGAGAGAAAGAGGGGGAAGAGAGAGAGGGAGGAGAGAGGGGGAAGATAGAGAAGGGGGGGGAGAGTGAAAAAAGAGAGAGGGGGAAAGAGAGAGAGGGAAGAGAGGAGAGGGGGAAGAGAGAGAGAAGAGAGAGGGGAGAGAGAGAGAGAAGGAGGAGAGAGAGGGAAGAGAGAGATGGAAAAGAGAGGGAGGGGAAGAGAGGTGGTGGGGGGGGGAGGAGAGATAGGGGGAAGAGAGAGAGAGAAGGAAGAGGGGGGGAGAGAGGGGGGCGAGAGAGAGGGAAGAGAGGGAGAGAGAGAGGGGAGAGAGGGAGAAAGAGAGAGGGAAGAGAGAGAGAATTATATATATATATATATATATATATATGTATATATATATATACATACATACACACTTATTGACTCTCTCTTTCATTGGGGGGGGGCGCAACATTTTTGTGTTGCCTACAGCAGCACAAAGTCTAAATACACCACTGCCCATAGCTTTCAAACTAAAAGCCTGCATACAGCTATGGCCAGAAAGCTATGGGCAGTGTCTGCAGGAACCTGACATTGCACCCGTGATCTGATGATTATGGGTGAAATGGTCTTGCAAAACAATGTGCATTTCTTTTTTAAAAGGTGAACTTAGTCTACAAGATTCTGAAGATCATTCAATCCATATCTTGGACTAATCATGAGGGTCAACATAAAATGTAACAAGGAAAAAGGCTGAGCTCTTGTGGTGTTCAGAACAGAACACAGCATTCCCTGTGCTAAAGAAGCCATCTTGCATTACCAGGGACTGGGACTTGTGAGACCTGGGTTATCAGTGAAGTGGAGCAGGATGGCACCATAATGTATTTATTTATTATTTAATGCACATGAAATGTGCACATGTGATTTTTGAGAACCTGTTTTTTGAAAAGCTACATACAATCTACAGTTTCTCATTTCTCAGCTGTTGAATTACGCAAGATCAATTGTTTTTATATTCTTAGACAATAAGGAAATAAGATTAGTGCATGTACCATTTGTTGAGAATATATTCAGCTGTCATAAGATACTGGACCCAAGCCTTGTAGCAACTGTGTCAAAAAGATCAAGAATTGTTGGAACCATATTTTATTGCATTCATGGTACCAAGCTGCCATCTAGAGTTTGCAAGCAGAATTCTCTTCATAGAAACTGATGAAGGATACAAGTAGGAAATAATCCATTTTCATCTGACTGCTAATGTTTTGGATATAAGGCTAGTGCCAAGAGCTGAAAATGGGAACTTCACATTGCCATGGGATGACACTAAAGCTGACTACAAAAGATCAAGATCAAAAACCACCAAAAAAAAAAGACAGCTAATCTCAACAAATACTGCTCTCTCTGCTTCTGCTCTCTCTATTTCTCTAAAAATGTCTGAAATAGTTATTTTTTACTGTTTTACTGTTTTTTTCAGTGCATTCTGGGCATTTTAAAAAAAGGTCTCCTAAGGTTATCTTTAAAAAATGCTTTTTAAAACACAAATGTTCATAAACGCGCATAAACGTGGTATGCAAACGTGGCTAAAGAGACATTTTTTAACCTACGTTTTTCCAGCAGTCAGTTTTCATCGTTCAGAAGTGTCCCATGTACATGGAGCCTGAAAACCTGTTTCAGGAGGAAATTGTGGACCAGCTATAACAGAAGCTAAGGGAATTTTAGTGTATCATTACTGCAGACATACATAATGGACATAGGCATTTTGTTTTGATTCATTTTTTGGACAGAAATTTCATTTTCGGAAATTCAGATGTATACGAATTACTGTATGGGCATAGTAGCAAATGTCAATGAATCTGAAAAAAGTTCTAACGAAATTAAGTAATGCATTTGTTTCATTTGGATTATGTCACATGATGCGATAGTAGTTCGGGCCCATGGGGAAATTAACTAAATTTTCAAATTTGTTCAATAATTCAGTTTCGGAGAACAAATGGATCAGATTTTGTTACATTCGTTAATTCGGATACATATGATGCCAGTTGATATTGTCCAATCAGCTCATACCATTTCTCTTGGTGGGTTGGACTAACGTCCAAAAATATAGACCCCTTCCAATTCGAAATCCATCCAATTCAATAATATATAGAATATGTAGCAATCTTCTGGTAAAAACTGCTTAATTTTTCTAAACCACCAGGACCAATTGATATACAAAATGAAGGTCAACATAACAAATATGATGAAACAAAATACTTCAATGAACAAATACATCCGCAATGATACAAAAGTGAACATTTCTGGCGTGCACAGAAGAGGGTAGTTAGTAAAAGGGTGTATGTGTGTAACACGCTATATAACATTATATATTATATATATATATATATATTATTATTTTTTTTTGTCTTCCACTTTGCAGCATCAACTGAGCTTTGCTAATTTATATGTGGAACTTTTCAGGTATTTTTAAGGTTCAGTTTGTCTATGGAAAAGCTCTATGCGAATTTTGTCACCTACTATTGATTTATACTGTATATGATACATTTATATTTGGATGGGAGATCCATTGTCAATTGTTGGATTTGTTTCTCATCTTAATGGATATAAATGAGGTTTAAATTTTGCAGTAAACTATATTAATACAAACATTTTGGGGGGGATATCAGGTTAAGCCAGGTTAGACACTAATATTTAATTACATTTTCACAGTGTGCATTATAAACTATGGAAAACAAACATTCCACTAGATTAATTTAAAAAGATTTGAAGGAATTTCACAGACAATTTAGAGTTTGATAAACACGTCCAAATTCATAAGAGGAGATTTTTCAATAAACAGTATCCTGAAAATCTAGTAAATAAAGCCTATATTAAAGTTAGAATTCTTATTCGGGATCAATGTTTTAGCTCCCAATAAAAGCCATGAATATTTAAAAAAAAAAAAACTATGAATATCCAGACGTCTTTCATCACAGATCATAATTCTCAGTATTTTTAGTAGTCATGGGAATCTGCTGATCCATGACCTGCTTTGAAAGAAAAGTACCGTATTCCAAAGAAAACCCATTCTGCCTTTACTGTATTTGCACTAGGACATTTAACATTAAGTTTGGTTTTCCCCCAAAAAAGTTCAGACCCTATACACTATATCATAATAGAAAACCCTCTGTTATAAAACTTACACCTTTTCATTTAGTTTCAGATACATATGGTTCAGAGAAATGTAAAAGATTGGGCCGCTTGAAAAAGATATGAATATATAGAATTAAACTTGTTTCCAAATGGTTTAAATGAGATGACTGAGAGTTTTAGATGGTCTAGTTTTATTATAATTGATTTTGGTTTGGGATTTTCTTTCTCCCTTTACATTAATACACATTTAACAAACTTTATTTTTTATTTGTTGTCTAAAGAATACTATTTGGTTAACAATAATTTCACTATTTTAAATACCCTTTATTTTGATTTATTTAAAGTATTAATTGTATTCATTGTGTTTTGGGGTTTGCACAAAATATATGTTATTTGTTATGTAGGTGCAATTTTACTGGTATATACAGTACATGGAAAGTGAAATATCCATATATTATTATTTTATTATTATATTCTAGCTAATTACATTTCAAATTGAATCTACACAAATTAACATAAATATTATCAGTTATTTACTATGAAATTTAACTGACCTCATCCACTACGACAATTATTTTATGTAAGTACAGGCGATATTTATATTGCACGATCAGCATTGTATGAATTATATAATTTAGTCTCAACTGTGCATCACCAAATGTTGATTTTTGATCTGGCAATGATCCAGGCTTGTGGCATCTGTGGGGTATTTGGAGCTTGATTCAGCGGGTGCTGTTTTCCCCCTCTGTTCTGTTCTAGTACTCTGCCTCTGAGTGTTTACTGTTGCGGAAAGTGGAAAGACAGTGCTGAACCTGCAGGTACACGCCAGTGGTATTGTTATCTTAAGATATTATGTTGGTGGAAATGATCTGGTTCCTGGGAAGGCGGCTTCTACACCGCAGAGGATCTCCACAGTCTCCCTGGCTTGTAGTGTATTGTAAGAAAAGCTGAAATTGAAGATCCACACCACTGTTAAGAGGCCCAGATACAACTTTATTCCATTAAAGGCCAGGGGTATAATTTGTAGCACACATTTCAGGGGTCTAAGCAGGGGTGGACTGACCATTTTGGAAAACTCGGGCAATGCCCGAGGGCCCAGGGTCAGTAGGGGGCCCCATGAGATGCCCCTGGTACCTTTTTCATAGGCTTTTTTGAGTTTGGGCAAGGACACAGGGGCCCCATGATCCCCTATTGCCCGGGGGCCCCATGAGTTGTCAGTCCGCCCCTGGGTCTAAGTGACCCCTTCATCAGGACTAGAAAGAACATAAGAAGATTTTAATTTCAATCAGACGTCAATACAATGTCCCCTCAAATGAGTCAAAATTAAAACCAGTCAATCATGAGAGTATCAAAAAAATGTACATAAAAATTAGAACACGAGTGCTGAACAAGAATGTGAATAGAAGTGCTTAAAAAAAAACAAAACAAAAAAAACAATTGTAATCATCATTATTTTTAAAATGGTATATTGTGGTTGATATTAAATTATATTTTTACTCAATAAAAATTGAGTAAAAACATTCAGAACATGTATGTGTATAAAATGAACCATACATTATACAATCTGATTTTACAATTGTGAGATTTTTAATATAAAAAAAATAACACAAAAAGTTCAAAAAGTAAATAACATAAATAATAGATAATTTTTTTAAAGCAATACAATAAAAATAATAATAAAACTATTAAAGATAATGATAGTATTACTGAAATAGTCATAATCACTATACACATTCTTGTCAATAAATTAATCTAAAAGGAATAGAAAATGTCAGTGAAATGATAAATGTATAAATTGAACCATATATTATACCATCTGATTGTACAATCGTAAAATGGTACAAAGGGTAGTGAAAATGATATTGGTGTGAATACTGCTAAGAATGATGATACTTATTCTAAAATGATACATTCTAATTAAAATTAAAAAACTTTTTTGGACCTAGTAAAATGACAAAAATATATCCAAAGAGCTGATAGGAGCCATACATTGTACTCTCTGGCTGTCTAATCACTGAGCAAACTGCCCAGTCTTAAAAATCCCATGCATTAAGTGGTACAATTCAAGTGGCCCATTCCATTGGTGGTGCATCCAATCACTACTGTGCAATCTGATTGTATTGTGTGTGTGCAACCTAGAAGGTGATCACAAGGTTGTATAACCACATGCTATAGAGTACATCTGGAGGAATATGTCATCTGTAGCAAATCATTTGTGTATGTACAGACCATTGCTGTATGTGGTTTTTAATATTTATCTAAATTTTATTTACTTTTTGAACTTTTTGTGTTTTTTTCGCTTACACATCTCACGATTGTACAATCAGATTGTACTGTATAGTGTATGGTTCATTGTATACACATACACATTCTGAAAGTTTTTAGTCAATATTTTTTGTTTTGTTTTCTTCTACTCTTTTTACAGTATACCATACTAACATACCAACCACAATATACCATTTTAATAATTATGATGATTATAATTTTTTTTCAGCACCCCTATTTTCCTTTTTGTTCAGCACGCATGTTCTCATTTTTATGTTCTTTTTTTTGATACTTTCATTATGGTTGGCTGTTTGGTTTTAATTATGACTGCTTTGAGGGGAGATGTCAGATTGAATTTAAAATCTTCTTATAGAAACATAGAAAAAAGTAACGGCAGAAATAGACTGAGTGGTCCATCGAGTCTGCCCATTTTTTGTGTGTGTTTGTGTGGGTTTTTTTGTGTTTTTTCTTTGGGAGGGGGGGGGGGGGTTGTGGGATTTTTTGTGTTTTTTTTGTTTGTTTTGTTTTTCTTTTCTATTAACGTTTTTTGTCTGAGTATAGATCTATGCTTGTCCCAAGCATGTTTGAAGCTATTTACTGCTGACTGGCCCACTACATCTCCTGGAAGTTTGTTCCAAGCATCAGTTGTTCTTTCAGTAAAATAGTACTTTATGAGATTAGTTTTGAACTTTCCTCCAGTTGGTTTAAGGCCATGTTCCCGTGTTCTTGATTTTGGTTTCATGTTGAAAATACTGCCCTCTTGAACCTTATGCACACCCTTGATGTATTTAAAGATTTCACTCATGTCTTCCCTTTTCTTTCTTTCCTCCAAACTGTGCATGTTATGTTCCTGAAGTCTCTCTTGATATGTTCTATCCCCCAGACCTTTCACCATTTTTGTTACCTGTCTGTGGACTCTGGAGGTCTAACTAAAGATCTATATAGAGAAATCAGGATCTCCTTCCTCCTCCTGGTGACCCCTTTAGTGATGCATCCTAGAATTCTATTCACTTTCCCCACTGCCTGGCCACACTGTTTGCTCACTTTGCAATCATCTGAAAAAAAGTACCCCCAAGTCCTTTTCCTCTGTAGTTCTGGCCAACACTGTACCCCCAATCTTATACTCTCTCAAGGGATTCTTTTTCCCTAGGTGCATTATTTTACATTTAGAAACATTGAACTGCAGTTCCACTTTTTTGACCAATCTTCCAGCAATGCCAAATCATGTTTCATGTTGCAGACACCTCCAGGGATATCAACCCTATTACACACCTTTGTGTAATCAGCAAAAAGACATACCTTACCCAAAAAAACTTTAGTTATAGGACTTACATGTAGAATGCATAGAACAGGACCTAGTACAGAGCCTTGTGGTACCCCACTAGTGACTGGTCTCTTTTCCAAGTGAACCCTATTTACAACCACACTCTGGTATCTATCCAGCTTCATATCTACTGATCACCCAAGGGCTGAGTCCTAGCGTGTACAACTTTTGTATTAGATCATTATGTGGAACTGTATCAAATGTCTTGCTGAAATCAAGATATACTATGTCCACAGCACCACCCTGGTCCAAAGCAAATCCAATCAGATTAGTCTGACATGATCAGCCCTTGGTTATATTCTTTTTAGCCCTGATGAAGGGGGCACTTAAACCCCCTAAACATGTTGGCTACTTTTCAAATTATACCCCTGACCTTTAATGGAATAAAGTTGTATCTGGTCCACTGAACAGTGGTGTGGCGCTTCAATTTAATCTTCTCTGAGTGTTTACTGGCAGCCAAGTGGGGGCAGGCTTGAGTGGAGTATGCATTTCTCCTCAGTTTCTTTTTGGAGAATGAAAATGGTGTATTAATAGCTCTAAAATAAAGGCTGGATTAGGAGTCCTTTAAAATGACTGGTATGTGCACTGGAAGAAGCACATTAGCAGACACAAACTAAATGGCTGCTATGTACTATGTAAAATAATCAGGTGCACCATCCCAATCCCAAACAACTATGTTTGTCAAGTTAAAATGAATCAGATTGATGTGTTGATGATGTTGTATTTAAGACAAGCAAAAAATGTAAAACTTATTAAATCAATTATACAAGCTAAATATCTGAAGTCAGAATGTGGTGTCATATTCCTTTGCAGTGACTGCGATCCTCGAACACACAGGGTTAACCTCAAACCCATGGCTGCGACGAACAATCTGGACCTCATTCTTACAGGTGAATAAACCTTGATCACAGGATCACCTAGTATTTTTTTCATTGAAAACTACAGAATCAATAGGAGTGAAAACTATTTTTGAAATGTCAATATTATGTATAAAGCTAATATGAGATTTTACTGACTGCATTTATGAGTTTTTCAGATATAATCACAGTATTCAACATATTGAAAATTATATTAAGATTTATTAGACTTTGGCAAATCTAGCCGATAGTCTTACAGAATATATGAGTTTAACAGGATTTACAATACGCTCTACACATAAAGTCATACAGAAAATATGCATAAAAGTGGCTAGTGCTTTGTAACTGGCTCATAAAGCTTAGAATGGTTCCAGTCATTAAACTAAGGGCTCTAATTATAAAAAGCTGTTGTATGAATGTCTCAAGAATTCACACAGCTTTCATGAATAACCCTTGTATTTTGCCTATTATGTTTATTTTCTGTGCTGGTCAGATCCATCTAGGGGCCATAATGCAATATTTTCCAGAAATATCTCAATCAGGAAACTCCTGCATTATTGCCACTAGGTGGAGCTAGTAATAGTAGGAAATAAAAAAATTTTAGTCAAAATATGGGGATTATTCTTATTTTTTTCATAAACAGACCCCTATAAGACAATCACCTGAGTGTTTGTTATTCCAAGTATTTATAGAAAGGTCAATAATTTGCAGATGACAGTTCTATACAGATCATGTAAAACTGTGTTATACTCACTCTTAGTGCTGCAATGCTTCTTACAGATAAGGATAATGTTTTACCTGGGTAAAATAAGTATCTATGCCAGGAGTGTCCAAACTTTTTAGTATGAGAGCCAGATCAAATGATATATATATATATATATATATATATATATATATATATATATATATATATAAACATACATACATACATACATACATACATACAGTGCTCCGCATAAATGAGTACACCCCAACGGATTTGTCAGAAAACTTTTATTTTCCTTTCAGAATCAATATTTTCTATGGGAAACTATACTACAAAATACTCCCACAAATAAGGGGCATTGATTGCAAACAAGATTTGCTAATTTGAACACACAAAAAAGTATTATTTTTGCTAAAAATTAACTCAAGACCATGTTGCAAAAATGAATACCCCCAATGAAATTAATTTTAGACAACAAATTCCTAATTAACAAGGATTCAACTACAGGTGAGTCTAATTATTCATTAAACATGCCCAAGATGGCGACCGGAGCGGCCGCATGATCGCCAGCTCCGGCGCCCCCCGCTGAATCTGCCACTATCCGGGCGGTAGTGGGCTCCGGAGCAACCACTGGAGGTCCTGCCAACACCCAGAAGGGGTGCTGTGTGCGCTCTGTCCCTCCGGCGGAGCTCTGGCGGTTCGCGGCGGTCTTTCCTGCCGGCCGCAGCAAACCGAGACGCCTCCGCTCCAGTGTGAGGGGACGCAACAACCACCCCCACCCCCCCGTCGGTACCTACAACCGCCGCTCCGGAGGTCCTGCCATCACCCAGGAGGGGTACTGGGCGCTCTGTCCCTTGCAGCCTACTGCGGCCTGCGAAGCCGCAGTCCTTCCTGCCGGCCGCGGAGAACCCAAGACGCCGCCACCCCGCACCAGAGAGAGGGGAAGCTACCACCACCACCACCCCTACCGGTATCTACAGCCGCCACCGCAGATAGAGGGGGCAAGCAACAACCACCCCCACCGGTACCTACAGAGTGTAGGAAGCCAACTCCACC